GTTTTCAAACTTAACTCGGCACTATTGCTAACTTGGTTATTATTGGAGCTACATAGTCGGTTAAATGGGCAAACTAGTAGACTTTTTTCCGCTGATTACGATGATGAATTCGAAAAACAAATCGAACATCATGTTCACGAGTTATGTCAAAAAGTTCAATATTTTGAATGGGACACCCAGTATACAATATTCCCAATCGATAGGATATTCGATTCTGAAGATCAGTCCTATAAGCTTTTATCCTAAATTCAAAAATGACTGAGCTATCGACGATTTCTTTTTATTTTCATGTCAAAAGGTACTTTTTTCTTAAATTGGACACCGAGTATAACATATTCTTAATTGATACAGAATTCGATTCTGAACAAAAACTGCCAGATAACCTTCAATCGTAAATTCAAAAATGACTGAAAAAAAATCAATGTACACCTTGCTGTATGAATAACTATATATAGTATGCTTGTGAAAAGGGCACTGAATAAAAGTCTCCACCACAACATCGTTACCTACTAGGAAAGCGTAGGAAGGCCACTGTTGTGTGTATTTTATTTTATTTCTTTATTCAGACTTTAAAGTCTGAATTCAGACTTTTTGCTCTGAATTCAAACTTTTTTCTCTGAATTGAAACTTTTTTCTCTGAATTCAGACTTTAAAGCCTAAATTCAGACTATTTTCTCTGAATTCAGACTGTTTGCATCGAATGCATTGAATACACATTCACATTAGGTAATACAATACCGAGGGTAATACACAGATTTCAGTAAGTACTTCTATATGTCATTTAGTCTCTATGGGGTTGATGATTAATTTTATTATTATATTAGTACGTCAAAACGTCTATAATGAATGATGTTGGGCTTATCAAAATATATTTATACCATATATATAAAAAGCGAGAGTATAGTTTATACAGTGTCTTGCATCTCACCTCCCGTCTTCTATAGCTCAGTTATCAGTTGAGTCAAGATTTTGATATTTTGCAGATTTCAATTGTATCATAGGACGCATATACCAGGAAAATGATTTCGATTATACAGGGTGTCCGACCGGAAGTAGTAATATAACTTTCGAATTTCAAATAGAACATTTTCTGAATCAAATGATACCATATAAGTCACATTTCAAACGTCAATATTGATTTTAATTTTATTTTCGATTTTCCATTTGAGTGTGCCATGACTATCCTGAACGAGTCTGATGTACTAATATTGTCAGGTGTGAAGCTAAAAAAATTGAATCCTGTCAAAAAAGTAAAATTTCTTGATACAGTGTGACCAACTTCTAATGGAATCACCCCTCTGTATCTTACGTAATCGTTGGGTAAGGATCCTGAAATTTGCTGGAGCGAGATATACCAAAAATGCACTCTATGACCAAGTAGGGTCATCTTCAGTGATATACACTGCTCGCCAACAGCCATGAAACTACCCCAATTTCCGGAAAATGATATTAGGAGTCAAAATAGGTCGAAAATCACTTCAGATTTGGAATCAAGACGCCCAATTTACTAATTATTCAAATTTTTCCTGGAAAATTTTCAGTTCGGAAAAATGAAATTTTGTCGCATTTTTTATGGAAGCACCCCGTATCTCACGTAATTGACTTTATCTTTGGACTTTCTCTTCCTCCGGCAAATTTCAGAACCCTACCTCAATAATTACGTGAGATACGGGGGTGCTTCCATAAAAAATGCGACAAAATTTCATTTTTCCGAACTGAAAATTTTCCAGGAAAAATTTGAATAGTTAGTAAATTCGGCGTCCTGATTCCAAATCTGAAGTGATTTTCGACCTATTTTGACTCCTAATATCATTTTCCGGAAATTGGGGTAGTTTCATGGCTGTTGGCGAGCAGTGTATATCACTGAAGATGACCCCACTTGGTCATAGAGTGCATTTTTGGTATATCTCTCGCTCCAGCAAAATTTCAGGATCCTTACCCAACGATTACGTAAGATACAGGGGTGGTTCCATTAGAAGTGGGTCACACTGTATATCACCAATTTAAGTTCATCAAAATGGTTTGGTGTACCATGATCCTGTTACACTAGGTATATAGTGTGTGTAGTATGAGTCTGAATTCAGACAAAAAAGTCTGAATTCAGGTTTTAAAGTCTGAATTCATAGAAAAAAGTCTGAATTCAGAGAAAAGTCTGAATTCAGAGAAAAAAGTCTGAATGAAGAAATAAAATAAAATAAACACAACAGTGGCCTTTCTTTCTACGCTTTCGTAATCTACTTAAAAATCAACCTCTATAGATAGTTCAAAATCATCCAAATGAGATGAAAGGATCAAGAGAAAACCAAATGCGAAATTAGGTTTCAAATTCGAGTTAGGTAGGTACTGGTTTTATTTAAATAATTATTTATGAAACAGGGGACATAAGTAGTAGATTTTAGCTCCAGGCTGGCCTCCCGACGAGTAGCGGAGAAAGACAAAAAACCATGAGCTAAAATCTGATATTTTTCTCGTGTATAATACACTATTTTTTTCTGTGATAGGAAGGACGAATCAATATTGAGAAGATATTACATTATGTTAAAATCAGAAAATAATCGACGAAGTTTTTAGCAGGCATCTTTATCATTCTTTTGAAGTAATCACATATCTGCCAGTCTAATTCTGTGATTCGATTTTGAAAAATTGCGGATTTAGTGGTTGTTTAGTACTATTATACGTAACCGCGAAGTCGAATGGAAGATAAAAGGACTTGCAGTTCTTTCTCGGAAACGGTGTTATTGCCTTATTTTTCGGAACTATATAGCACAACAAAAGCCATCAACAGTGTATATATATGTGATATTTATCCGGGAAAAAAGTTGTCACTTTTTTCACGTGGAAAAAAGTAATTTATGAAAAGTGACATTTTATAACCTGTCAACAGAGATGAAATATCAAACTTTTTTCCCGTCACAGAAAAAACATAATTGTCATGTAATTCTGTTCGAAATTATTCTTCATCATCATCATCATCAGAGGAAATCATTTTCACAGCTATTTCCAAAAATAATTGTGCTGAAGATGGAAAAACTACAGTTCAATAGAATTGTCAATGTTCTAAAAATCCTGATGCAAATTAATTGTTGTAACCTATTTTCCCAAAAGTGAGACTGCTTTGATATTTCCATTTTCATTAGTTAGCAACATTTTTCACACCTTGCTTTTGTTTTTAGTGTCATTGTCGCCTTGGAATTTGTTTTCTGCTGACACTTGCATGTGCATGCCTATTGTTTCAATAACATTTCGTTAATAATCTCGTTTCTTTGAAATTAAATAATGAGCTTAATAGGTTGAGGAATTGGGTAATTGAAAATTGCAGCATTGAAAACCACAACATACCGGGTGAGTTAAATGCATGTAGATGCATGGGGATTGGGGATCTCGGAAACGATAAGAGCTATATAAAAAGAAGGTTAAATGGTGGAAAAGTGGCGAAAATTTATGACTAACAAAATGCCATTTTGAAACTTGAATAATTCCGAATACTTGAATTTGAATTTTTGAAATACCGATTATTCGCGATTTCATTTTTATTTATTTCTCACTCTCATTCAATACATGTAGCAAAACAAATTAAAAATTCTCATTGCTACTTTTTATGTCCTACAAGATGGTGTTATCAGACTGTCTAACCGATGTTTCGTCTTCGAGCTTCCATCATCAATTAACTTTGTTTCTTCATATGCTGCCCTGGATTTTTTATCATATCATGTCATAGTGATATTGGCGTATGGATGAATGATGATGTTAATATACAAATGAGTTATAGGATGTTTTCATTAATTGATCTCGAAAATCCCAAATAATCAAGTAAAAAGAAAAAATAGTGATGAGAATGAGAGAGAATAGTTAGAAAAAAATAAAAATGAAATAGTGAATATTCGTTTTTTTTTCGAAACTTCGGAAGTATTCGGAATTTTTCAAATTCCAATTTCATTTCGTTAGGTATAAAATTGCGCAACTTTGCCTTCATATTTAACCCTCTCTGTAAACCTCGCCGTTTCCGAGGTCCCCGTGCATCTAGTCGAATTTCTCTCACCCAGTATAGGGTGATTTGTAAATATTCAACAAAAATTCAAGATCGGAGTCAAAAAATGTGAAACATGCCTAGTGAACATAAATCGATATAAAACCTTGTTTTTCAATGACATTTCCACAATTTGTCATGTTTTTTAAGGATTGTTTTTTGTTTTTGGGTGTATGATGAATTGACATTCATCATACAGGGCGTGGAAAGAAATTCTGAATTGAGACTCTATCACGAATCTGCGATTAGAGGTCTATAAAAATCACAAGTTTCCATCGTTCAAGTTTGAACCCCCTGATTGGGTATGAAAGTGTTGAAAAGGAATATTCTCAGATAAATTATGAACATACAAAATTGGATATATATTTATATGAAGCAATACATTTAGAATTCGCATTCTCTATGTGATGAGAATATCTACTCTTTTTCAGTATATTATATTTTATTTTCAAACTCTTATCGTGTGTGTTCAATAGATATAATTCAATGTTCGTCGTGGCACATAGCCAGGAAAGTAGTTGTTTTCTATTGAATAAACTGAAAAAGAGTAGATATTGTCATCACATAGAGAATGCGAATTCTAAATGTATTGCTTCATATAAATATATATCCATTTTTGTATGTTCATAATTTATCTGAGAATATTCCTTTTTTCAACATTGTTTTTTGTACCATCTATAGTTATTTTATTCCCTTTTTTCTTCATGAAACAACTGGAAATTAAGTTCGCTTGCTCTGAGTTTTTCATCATCCAAATCAGCATTAAAAAGGGACGATTCTTCATGAAATACCTACCACCTACCTACGCAGAATTAACACACCTATTATCAAACAATGCAATTATCATAACTGAAAGTACAAATGAAGGGCTTCTAAATTGAGCTAGATTATGAAGAAAAGTCCATATAAAAAATGTCTTTTTACCTAAATATTGGCTATATTTGAATATAATTCGAAACATTATGTCTTGTAGGTTCAGACTGCTCATTTCGTATTTCAAATTTCCAAATTTTGGTTGCTTCAGTGAAACAGATATCATATCAGATGATAGTTTGGAAGCTGTAAGAGAAGTTGTCACTGCTTTAAGGTCAAGTAAGTAAGTACATGACAAAGTTATTCATTTCCATACCCTCTGCATGTTTTTTTTTTATCTTTTGGAGCGCACGAAAAATGTTGAACAATTGACAAATTCCAGTGAAGACATATTGGGTGTTTCAAAAATTGTGGGCAATCTTCAGAATGTGTATAGGACACATTAAGTCATGGAAATATATCAAAATTAGTGAATAATTATTGAACATCGCAGAAATGTTGTTCAGATGTGCCTGTTTTTTTGAAACCCAACGTGGAAATTATACGAAAATTCACAAATGGGTGTTCAAAACCATGAAGAACAATATTACGGGCTTAGTCTTCCTGTAGAAAAAATGACTAATGTGATTTTATGAAAAATCGCGACCTATTTATTTCAATAAAAAGGCACGGCACTCTCCATAATAATGTTTGTCTATGAAAAACTGATCATATTATTGGTTGGTCATACGAGTTCTAATTTGGTAAAAATCATATGACTAATAGCCGTTTAAAGGGAGACACGTTGTATATTTTTTGTGATCACAAAAATTCAATAGATTTCCAAATGATATAAAAAATAGAGTGCTCCATTTGAAAAAAAAAATTTAGTCAGGCTTTTTGGAATCACCCTCTGAAAATTTTGATAAATGCCGTGAGAAGGCCTCATTGCGGCATTCAACTTCCGCATAAGTTTTTTTTTCTCGGGGAAACATATCTTGAATATAGGGTTGGGCCTCTTCAATGGAGAACCCTGTACTGGAGTGTTATTTTCATCTCTGAAAAAAATGCACTGTGTTTGTTATGCCCCTGAAACCGAAAAAAAAATGTTTTCCTAAATTTTACAGGGAATAACCAGTTGCGTAAAGTAAAATGTTTCATAACTTGTTGATGTGTATAACCCTAATAACACAACTATATCCCATGGATATCCTTAGGACGTCCTGTCGGGACATTCAGGACGTTTATAGGACGTTCGAATTTGGACCCATTTGAGGACCAACTGTGGACGTCCTTGAGGGATGTCCCTGGGACAACTATCAAATACCTAAATCCTACAGTATTCCTCATCAAGCACTACGAAGGACATCTTTAGGACATCCGTAGGACAACCTATCAGCAACGCTGAGGGATATCAATTGGATGTCCATAGGATGTCCCAGGGCCGTACGAATTATTCTTGAATTTGAACTTTTCTGGGTCCCTCTAGGAGCAGATCTTGCATAACTGATGAGGACATCCAGTTGAGTTGATGATCCGTAGAAGGTCCCCAATAGATCCTGATGAAAATGTTTCCCAAGGATGTCCAATGGACTTACGTGAAAGACATTGACGGGGAGTATTTATAGCCTACGAGCAATCATTCGTCGGCGAGGTGTAAGTTAACGTCCTCGCAGGGACAACATATTGAAAGTCCGACTGGGACGTCTGTAGGACGTTATTTCTAGGACATTGGAAGAGTACAGTTCATGTACCAATTGGGACATCCGACGGATATACCTAAGGGACATTCGAAGAATGTCCCTAAGGGACATTTCGATTGTTATACGATCCTGGAAATATTGAGGGCGTCTGTGCAGAGATATTTGAAGGAATGTACCATCAGGGACGTTTCATAGTTGTCTAGAAGGGACATTATATAAGATCTGAAGTCATGCCAGAATATGTACTACTCGGGACATCCGATGGATGTCCCTAAAGGAAGGTTTAAAATCATATCCCATCAGGGACATGCCAAGGACGTCCTTTCATGGAAATTCTACATTATGTACCACGTGGGACGTCTAAGGGGGATGCTATTTCTAGGACATTTGAAATGATGTACCTGCTGGGACATTCCGTGGACGTCCTTGTTCGGACATTCCATGAGATGTACGGGATGGGACGTCCCAAGGACACTTATTTTTGGTCCAGGACATTAGGACTTGAATTGTACCAAATAGGGACATCCCTAGGACGTTGTGTGCTATTGGGGAATATTCATTGTGTCATTCAAAATCCTGTTGTGAAACGTGATATTCTGTCGTATGAAGGAAACTTCAAACTGACACACGAAATATTGTACTCACAGAGTTTTAAATACAATTAATTGAAATTATCAATCTGATCAATATCGGGAAGTTTGCCTGTCAATTGTGAACAAAATTATTTCAAATTCAATAACACCGAAAAAAAATACATTTTTCGAAAAAAGGAATAACCAGTTACATAAACTAAAATGTTTCATGACTTGGTGATGTAATGTTCATTGTGTCATCTAAAATCCTATTGTGAAACGTGTTATTTTGTCGTATAAAGGAAATTTCAAACAGACACACAAAATATTGTACCCACAAAATTTTCTCGCCAAAATTAGAAGAAATATTGTACGTAACACGTTAGGAAATGCAATATTGTGTTTCCAAACTAGTTACGTAAATATTTATTTCGGAAGACGCGGCCTTTTGTCCCTTTTCTTTGAAGGGTGATTACCACCATCTCGTGTCCTATTTAGATCCGTAGCTTGCTCAAATTTCATGAAACGCCTTGTGTATGTGAATAACTCATATCGATCTTATCTTATTTATTAATTTTTATAGTCTAAAAATACTTTGTTCCCATTTTTGTATTCCATAGTTTGTATCCACACTGTACATATCATTTGTATGTATAATGTTTTTTGGTGGAATTCAGATGTCCAGATCATAGGCCAAGGATGGATATTCAGAGGCGAAACAGCCCTTCAGAGGGGCATAGTTCTCGAAATTGTATTGGCCATAGAGAAAGGCAATTTGAGACATCTCAGAAATTTGTTGGATTCTGGGTGGAGATTAGAAGCCTCTCAAGCTCTGTACACTTTTTTGACCAGACTGTCACAACCTTTGATACCACATTCCATACAATCATTGGTTTTAGGTAAGCCCTTCATTCATTGAGAATGTGATGAAAATTATTTTAGGTAAAATCCCAAGACCATACTAATAGCCGACTATTATTTTCTTCATAATTCTATTGAAAGTACCTTATATTTTGGCAATTTTAGGGGACCATATGGACATTAATGACCATAATATCTCGAGGGAGCTATTCTATGATTACTATTGTTCATATGGTCGAGCTCAAATGTATCAAAATACTAGTTTGTCATGGTCGAGTGATATTTAGGAAGATTTTTTCATGAACAGCACATAATATATACTCGCGACTATGATGCTGTTGTAAAAATGCAAGGTGTGTAACTTGATAAATCCAAACATTCAAAAACACTAACAGTTGACTAGTATTAATTTGGAAAACTAAATTTGAATGCTTATGACAATCATTAACTAAATGAATGAATGATAATAATTTGAATTTATATAGTGAATGTATATCTATAATAACTATTTCTCCTCCTGTAAAGGTTCTTAGTAGATTCCCAATAATTTAATTTGTATATACATATGATAATGTTATTTTGCAGAGTTTCGACAGGCTTTATAATTGATAGTTTTGAATATGTTGACTATCATATGCAAAAAGTTTTTCAATTTTTTATGTTTCGTTTCTGAGATATGCATCCCTATAATACCTGTAAACTCAAAAATTGATATCTCAGAAACGAAACATAAAATTTTTTTTCGCATATATTATGTTAGTCAACATATTCAAAATAGTGTGAGTAAAATGAGATCCAAATTGACGGAACTGTTTTCGAGATATTCAATTGAAACATGTTAAATAATCTTCGACAAAATCTAACACACCCTGTATCTAAATGAGAGGCAATATTGAAAAACTGAATTCACTAGTGAGTTATTCCTCAGCATTCATTCAATCAACAGTATCAATCAATAATCAATCCCTTTCTTTGTGTTCAAAAGCAAGCTGTCAATTGTTTTCAAAAAGGGGTACAACACAAAATTCTAAAAATTAATATTTCGAACAGAGATAGTTATAAAGAATCAAAAATACGTTTTCGAAGCCTACAATAGACTAAAACTATAATGTCCCACCAAAATATAACTTGGTGGTTTTGGAATAGTGCTCGAATTTTTTTTCCGAAAAATGAATTTTTTGACCGTGCCTCGTATACACCCTGATTCACTATAATTTATGTGATTATAATTAGACATGTTTATGAGTTCTGATCAATACATTTTCTAGCTTATTTTGTTTCATTTATACTAAAAAACAAGTTTTTTTCTTTGTCAATCGTACCACGATACGAATAAACATACAAAACTTTTTAAACTCACATATTTTTCTAATGATCCATCCCACAACAACATAGTAAAATTTCAGCCAATTCGACCGAGAGCCAATTTCCCGAGTTTTCGTGCGGGGTCCTTTGCAATATAGTTCATATAAATGAGAAATAAAATAGGCCGTGAGAGTATTATTCAACAACAAATTATTTCGAACTAGGAAACATTATTTGTTAAAACCTCATGATCGACTCTCATGCAAAATATACAGAGGCAACCAAAAAAAACAAACATGTTTATGAACTTCCAAATTTGAATGTTATCAGACATTTTTGAAATATTTCCAGATTTTCAAAAGTGGGTAGGGTAAAAGTATTATTTTTTAGATGATAACGGACACGTGCCTGTCGAAATAGTAGCCACAGATGTTCTAGGCCTGATGAAACAGGAATTATCTGACAGACATTTCCAGCTAGTTTCAATCCTCTTAAATCTTCTGGATACTGTGATAAAAGTTTCACCTGCCGATGAATTACGAGGGAATACCTTGCCCATTTCCATGTTACCATTCTTCTTCAACATACAGGTAAAATGTACAGGGTGTCTCGATATTCAACCTATACGGATCAACAGAGGTGAATAAGCCTTATCGTTTCCGGTCGACACTCGAAACACCCCACCCCGTATATCATATTTAGTCGCAGTTAGCAGAAATTATTCAATACTCACTTCAAAATGGCCCCTCATCTCAGCTATTTGGACTGTAACCTATGAATGAAACATCAATATGATTTTTTTGTTCAGAGACGAGCTTCATTTTGGACAGTGCGGTAGTTTTTATTTAAATGAAAAGTGGTCAATTTTCAATGAAATCATATCAGGATTTTATTGACGGGAAAACTGACCTCATAATATATTTTGTGATGGTTTCAAACACCCATATATAAATTTTCATATGTTTTTTATGAATAGGGCACATCCAAACACCGGCAATTTTTGCGAAAGTAAATGAATATTCACTCGGAAACGGTGAGTTCAACAAAAGCAAGTATTCCTTTATCTTGTTCTTTCTTCCAAATCATCATTTTCTGCCAACAGAGCTAACGTTTCAAAATTGGTAGTAAATTGAAATTCATTATTATTTTAAGGCATCGACTGAAAAAAAAGTCAATATTGTTAATTCGGAATGGAGTGATTTTTGCATATGAGAGTTCAAAAGCATGAGGAACAATAATATAAGTTAGTTTTCCTGCGAAAAAATCCTTATATGATTTCATCAAAAATGAAATCCTTTATATTTCTATAAAAATGCACATCACTGTATTAAAAGGATGTAAAGAACTGATCATATCGATAGTTATTCATAGCGGTCCGAATTTGGTACGAATCGCATGACTAATAGCTGTAATATAGAGGAGGGCCGTTTAAAAGTGGGACACACTGTATAGTTTTACTGATAGAAAAAATTCTTCTAAGATAGAATCTTATCTAAAAGTTATCTAACTAAATAATTTAGTTCACAGGGTAATGAAATTTTCTATTTTTAAGAAAAGCTCTGTAACAATGGTAATTTAGGTTTCTTTCAGAGAATATTTATAGATGAGCATTATTTCTATTTACAAATACTTCCCAGTGAATGTATATGGTTATGTAGGTATATACAGAAATACAGAGCGTCCATAAAGTAGAGTAGGTATAAAATTGTTGAAACATGTCAATTTTTAATTTCAATTTACTATTTTTTGAAATTATAATCTGATATACAGGGTGAACTACCTTCGTGTGATGACGTTATAAGTAGTTATTTCTGAAATGCAACCCCATTATTTTTTTCCGGATTTTCCTCGTTCAGCTGATTCCAAAAATGTATCACGAATCGTTGCTTCAAATTGATATAGGTAGTGGGCGAAAATACAAAAGTTGTTTTTGAAATTTTAATGATGAGTTATAAATTAGGTACTTTATTTTCACAAATTATAATAAAAGAAGATTAACACAATGAACGAATTAAATTAAATAACGATGTTATGCAATTACTGTGATTCCAGCCTGTATGCATTATTTTTAATTTTCAGAGTCAGCATATAAATGAATGGAGAAGAATAGCAACAATTTTTGTTGAACTTATAAGACTAGCCAGCCAACGTATAGAAGCAGGGCATGCAAGCAATGTTCGTACGTTCTTTAATTTTTTTTTCTACTACATGCAGTATACAGTGCGTTCATAAAGTGTGGAAACGCTCAATTATCTTACGATATAATTATTTTCAGAGGTAAAGCTCGGACAGGTCGATTTTGTATTTCAGTCTTCCATCTTTTTTTACAAAAAAATAATTTTTTCCCCCACCACCTTACAAGATATGACGTCATCGATATTTTTTTTAAATTGAAAGGGTATATTTTTATATCAAAAATTGAAAGCCCATATTTTTATGAGTTCAACCATACCACATACGTCATATCTTACACTTCAAGTTACAGTATACTGAGTATAAAAGAAACCAGTGTTCATATTTCTCAACATTCATTTAATTATTTATTTTGCAATGGAAACCTGAGAATTACTCAGTAGTTCGAGCATTTGCTGTAGATTTGTTATTTGTTTATTTTATTTAATTATTTATTTTGCAATGGAAACCTGAGAATTACTCAGTAGTTCGAGCATTTGCTGTAGATTTGTTATTTGTTTATTTTCACTACTTCTCATGATATTTTCATTGCAAATAAATAATTAAATGAATGTTGAGAAATATGAACACTGGTTTCTTTTATACTCAGTATACTGTAACTTGAAGTGTAAGATATGACGTATGTGGTATGGTTGAACTCAGAAAAATATGGGCTTTCAATTTTTGATATAAAAATATACCCTTTCAATTTAAAAAAAATATCGATGACGTCATATCTTGTAAGGTGGTGGGGGAAAAAAATATTTTTTTGTAAAAAAAGATGGAAGACTGAAATACAAAATCGACCTGTCCGAGCTTTACCTCTGAAAATAATTATATCGTAAGATAATGGAGCGTTTCCACACTTTATGAACGCACTGTATGATATAATATCGATTATTTGCAAAAAACTTCGGATACATCAATTTCAATTAGATATTCTGAGATTGTCTCTCCTCGTAAGCTGTAAATTGGAAATATTTTCATAATATACAGGGTGTTATTCAAGTATCTGACCAAACTCCTAGAGGTGATTATTTGGGTGATTCTAAGATGAAAAGTTTACATAAACAGATTCAGGAATGCTTCGTTTTCAAGAAAAATCGTATTTCATTAATTACTCAAAATTCTGTTTTAAAATTTTAATGAACAGTATCAAGAAGCTTTTTTTGGTATAATTGGATTCCAGTGGCGTCGCAGTGGGTTACCTTTTCAATATTTATGGTAAATAATAAGGTATCTACGTCGTATAGTTTTTTCCACGTTCGATATATTTTTATCAGATTACACTTAGTTTCTGAGGAAATGATGGAATATTTGTTTGTCTCCAAATCTTAATGTGCCCTCGAATCAACGATTGGGATTATCAAATAACCCCAATGAGTATCATTCTAAGATTTTGAGACTTTTTCTGTCACCAACCAGACTAAATTTTGTCATTATGAAAGCTCATACAGGGTAATAATGAAAAACAACAATCAATACTTCCAACTTCAACACCCTGTATATTGAAAACGAAGCATTTCACGACCTATGTGTATATGAATTTTTCGTCAATCACCCAAATAACCGCTCCTTGAAATTTGGCTAGACACTTAAATAACACCCTGTATGTGCCTGAAGAACACTATTCCTTTCCTATTCGTCTTGAAATTCTCTATTCAACTATGTATCACAATTTGATATTCGTTCATTAATTGGCTGTTAAATTGCATTTTATTGAAATACATCAAGTTATTGGTTGTGGCCCGAATACAATAATGACATTTCGATGCTTGATAGGCTTAGAAATCCCAAGATCATTACTCTAGACGATATTTTCAGAATATTTTTCATACCCTAATCGGTCCCAGAAGATTGCCAATAATTTCATTGAGTTTAAAGAAATCATCCGAAAATATAACTCACGATATTGAGAAAACTAAGATAGAAACTCAGTTTTTTTTCATTTGGCTACTTGTAAAGAAACTAGTTGTCTTTCATCTTTTCCATATAGCATAATATGATCATCCATTTGGATACATGAAACTGAAATTGTTGTAATAAATTGATGTATCGTCCTAATACTTCTGTTCATAAGTCTACATTAGTGTATTTTCAGTATCATTCCACTTATCAAATTATGATACATAGTTGAATAGAGAATTTTGAGGCGAATAAGAAAGGCTACAGAAATATACAGGATGCCATTTGAAAAAAAAAAGTTGGGTGTACTTGCGATCAAACAGGTGGTTAAAGAAAATTGTCATTGGGTTCAAGGGAAGTGTCATCATCCATAATATTATCCTTGTGAATTTCTAATTTTTATCTCTTCAAATAAAAAAACTACAGGATGTTACAAGTCTCCTGTGTCACCCGGCATAGGGGAATCCGAATTTCGATTCATATAGCAAAAACACAATATCTCAACTTTCTTCGATCAGTTTATCTTCGTTTCAGAGTTACAAGGTAAGGTGTGCATTTTTGTGAAGTGGCTAAAAGTGTGATTTTAGCAAAAATTCTTTGTTTTCATGAAAATATTCCTAAAGCATTTGTGTTTGATTGATCCACACTGAAATCAGTCATCCTCCAACTAGTTCAAAAATAGAACTTTTTCTTATAAAGAACAAGTTATATTTTTGAACTAGGTATAAAAAGACTGATTTCAGTGCCTGAGGATGATTCATCATCACAAACTCAACGCTTTGGAAATGTTTTCATAGAAACACAAAATTATTGCCAAAAAAAGTATTCCATAGTATATGTATAGCCACTTTTCAAAAATACACATTTACAAAAATTACTTTGTACAGGGTGATTCACCATAAATGTCCCCCCCCTCTATCTCAGATATTTTTCAACCGATTGCAGAATTTGAAATATCATCTTGAATGATTCTCGATAAAGTTTTTTTTCGCTAGATCAGAAAATACAGGGTGCTCGGAACAAACGATCTACAGGGTACTATTTGATTTTTTTAAATGGACCACCCTATTTTTCATCGTATTTTTAAATTTTCCCTGAAGAGCTGATTTGATCAATGTATCACACTTGGGGTCTAGCGGGAATGATTACAGAGATATAGGGTGTTCAAAATCGAGATTTTTCAACTTTAGGATTTTTTTGTGACGAAACTATTCATTATCGGTCAAAACGGCGATCATGTCCGTATTTCAACTTTTGATTTACTATCTACTGACATTTAATAATTGGAACAGATACAGGGTGATCAGAATTCTGAATCTGAACCACCCTGTAAATGTTCCAATTAAATGTCACTAGATAGTAAATCAAGAGTTGAGATGAGGACATTGAAGCCGTTTTGACCAATAATCATCCGATAATGAATAGTTTCGGCACAAAAAAATCCTAAAGTTGAAAAATCTCGATTTTGAACACCCTATATCTCTGTAATCATTCCCGCTAGACCCCAAGTGTGATACATTGATGAAATCAGCTCTTTAGGAAGACTCTGAAAAAATAATTGAATACAGGGTGTTCCATTTGAAAAAATCAATTAATACTCTGTAGATAGTTTGTTCCGAGCACCCTGTATTTTCTGATGCAACAGGAAAAAAAATTCTGAAAAATCATTTTAGATTATCTTTCAAATTTTTGAAATAGTTCAAAAATAAGTGAGCTAGAGGGGGGGGGGACATTTATGGTGAATCACCATTGGAGTTGAAGAAAATTGATACTCAATTCTTATCAGATTTCATAAGATAAGGTTGGTACAGGTTTTTCGAAAAAAAATCCTTGATTTCAGGTGTGAACCCAACAGAAATGTTTCCTAGGATTGTTGAGATGAACTAAATGCCAGAATTGGTAGAAATTACAGAAAATATGATAGCTAGGTGGTATCTTATACCAGTAGGTAGGTCATCCAAATTCTCGTTCAAAATAATAGTTATTTTTATATCTGGTGCGCGAAATGCTACTTTGGTAATCGAGAACTGAATTTTTTCACAAGGCACAGCCGAGTTAAAAAAATAGTTAAAGTATTTTGCGCACCAGTTGCAAATAACATTTTTTCTACAAACGTCAAAAAATTGAGTTGTAAAGAAGTAATGTGAGTGTGGAACCGGCTTAAACGGCCTCAATTATTGTTAAACATTTAGAAATAAATGATCTCTTGGATATTTGCTGGATTAAGGACCATAAAGTTTAAGAACAAGAATCTCATATAGTTTACATACAATGCGCGAGGCATCGTTTTATTTCGCGCACTACTTCGTACATGGCGACGTGGTAAGGAAAAAAAGTGTCACTTAGCAAATTGTTATCAATGCGTGAACCTTGGCATTTTTTGACGTTTTGAAGAAAAATAATATGTATTTAAAAGTGTAAGGAGCATCATGGTGGTCATCTGAAGTCAAAAATTGTATACATGATTTGTTTGTAACTATGAAATGATGAATTATGATATTCAAAAACGAACTCGATTTTTCCTACTATGAATATACATAAAATCGTCGCTGTTTTGGCAAAAGGCTTAAATATTGGTAATCAAAAATACAGAAGGTCTAGATTAATTTTTTTAGGAAGTTTTTTTTTAGGAAGTGATTTTTTTTTAAATGATATATCAACATATTTTGAGTATATCTAAAATGCAAAGCTTGATATATTGGGATAATTTTCATAGATTTGTCTTCTCCATTAATCAACTTGACTTCCATATCTCAAAGTCTCTTGAGTTATTCCAAATAATGAATGTCATATTTGAATAACTATAGTTTTCATTTCAGGTTTTAGAGGCGACTGCAATAATCTAGAGGTATATGAAAGATCTAATACAAACAGAATTTTAGAATAGTTTCATGTAAATAATAAGAAATACATCTTTTATGTAAAACATTCTTATTTTACTTTTACTCGTTTTTTTTTTTGTAAATATATTCAACCACTTTTTTGTCTTTTCACTTGCTTAGTAATTACTCAATATATTTGATAACGGAAAAATGCTCAGTTTTTATAAACAATTTAAAAATACTATAAAAGTATAACGAAAATAATAACAAACATATTTGGTGAGGTAAAGAAACTATATATAAATTGATGATGTTAATACTATAGAGAAGCTCCAAAATCAGATGAACAAAAAAAATAGATGATAATCATTTATCGTTACATACATTAGGATAAATAAAAAAGTTTTGATTTGCACATTCTCAATCAAACCAAATCAGGCAGTAGAATATACAGGGTGTTTCAGTTTTTTGTAGCAGGACTTCAACAGCTTGAAGAAGACATTTTTTCAAAATGAAAATCTCATACAAACATATATGCGTGGAAGCTTCATTTCCGATTTACAGGGTGTCAAAGTTTCAGATTTTTTTTATGTTTTTTGAATGTTCTCCTACAATTTCCGGAATAATTGATCGAAATTTTAAACACCTAATACACTTCAAGAACTTAATATTTGAGGCTGTTGAGCGTTTTCGAATACCTACAGGGTGATAGACTTTCAGGGGTCGTACCCAATTTAACCCTGTAGAACTTTTTTGCGTGCGGTCTCTGCTTTCAATGGGACATAGATTCAGATTGTCCTTTCAATTTGGAAAATTTTTGCCTCTATGTAAATTTTTCGAAAACTGTATGGATCTCGAGATAAATGCCAAAAATAAATTACTTGTTATAAAACCGTTATTTCTCAAACACACTTATTTGACATTTCTCGAACATTTTATTGGAAAATAGAATGACCGAAAGCTTCCATACCAAATAATAAATAATTTAAACTAGGAAAAACAAAGAAAAAATGTTTTTATTTTGAAAAAACTTCTCTAACTGGATTGCAAAATCTGAAATTGTATTGTAGAAAATTCTAGGACACCCTGTATAACTGAAACTGGTTAAACTTTCGATATCAGGGACTGTATGACACACGGTCTAGGCGCTATACATCGCTAGACTGTCGCTTCTGACGGTTGAGGTGTTGTGAGTTTTAATAATTTAATCTCGTGAACGGCAATTCTAATTTTATCAGTAGGTACCCTTAGAAGTGACTTTTATTTATCTCGGAATCCATACAGTTTTCGAAAAACATACATAGGGGCAAAAAGTTTCCAAATTGCAGACAATCTGAATCTATGTCCCATTGAAAGCAGAGGCGGCACGCAAAAAAGTTCTACAGGGTTAAATTGGGTACGACACCTGAAAGTCTATCACCCTGTAGGTATTCGAAAACGCTCAATAGCCTCAAATATTGATTTTTTGAAGTGTATTAGGTGTACCAAATTTCAATCAATTATTCCGAAAATTGTAGGAGAAAATTCAAAAAACATAAAAAAAATCTGAAACTTTGACAACCTGTAAATCGGAAACGAAGCTCCCACGCATATATGTTTGTCTGAGATATTCATCTTGAAAAAATGTCTTCTTCAAGCTGTCAAAGTCCTGCTACAAAAAACTGAAACACCCTGTATAACAAATCTAATTACTAGAATGAACTTGCCCAATGTTCATTATTTTGATTCAACTTAGTTAATCTACGAATATTATCTTTATTATTATTCCCAAGAAACATACATGTTTATAGCAGGGAAAATTATGAAAGAGCAACTAAAAAAAAAAAACAAAAATTAGATAATCAGATAATCATTTTTAAATCATATACATAATACATATAATGTTGTTTCTTCTAGAGACTGTTGAATATAATTTCTTGAATTGATTCAGGATGACATGGAGAGAATCAAAGACATAAGTATTTTTTCAGTTCTTTTTTGAATTTTTCAACACTTAATTTTTTCTTTAGTCTGGCAGGTAATTCATTATAGAGAATTGTTCCATTGTATAAAATAGATCTTTTACCGATATCTGATTTAATTTTGATGCGAGTTAACATATCTTTTTGTCTGGTTATGTGTTCGTGTTTATGACTATTGACTTCAAAATTCAGATTTGAATGTTTATAATTATATTTGACGGAATGGATGAAATTCAATATTTTGAATTTGTAAATGGAGTTTATATCTAACAATTGCCTAGGTTTATAAAGATTTCTTGTTGGTTCCAAGTAATCTAGTTTGTATATACATTTAATAACTTTGTTTTGAAGGATTTTGATTGGCTTCATGATTGATAATCTAGCTGTACCCCAAACTGAAATCAAGTATTGTAATTTTGAATAAACCAAGGAAAAATATATACATTTCAAGTATTTCAAAGTGATTTGGTGTCTGATCCTGTAGAGTACTCCGATTACTGGAGATATTTTCTTTCTGATCGATTCAATATGTTTGGACCATGACAAATGTTCATCAAGGAATATCCCAAGGAATTTGATGGCTGTGGAATATTTGATGATTTCATTATTAAATTTGATATCAAATTTTAGTTCACTTGAGAGGCGTCGTTTAGAGATATACATGAATGCTGATTTGCTGTAATTTATACTCAATTTATTATAGGACAACCATGAAGATAAAATAATCAAGTCACTTTCAATTGCATTTCTGATTTGTTGGATTGAGTCTGCGGAATAAATCAATGTAGTGTCATCAGCGAACATGTAAACTTTTCCTTTCAATTGGATGTTAACAATCGAGTTGATATATATCAAAAATAAAACAGGGCCTAAGATTGACCCTTGTGGTACTCCACATATAATGTCATTAGCTGTACTTGAAACTGTTCCTTGATAAACAAATTGCTTTCTACCACTCAAATAATTTTGAAACCATTTATGAACTATACCTCTTATGCCAAGTTGGTATAACAAATTGAGGAGAATTTCATGATTCACAGTATCAAATGCCTTGCGAAGATCTATTGACAGAAGTCCACACATCTTATTAGCATCTAGTTGCATTTGAAATTCTGTCACAACATCCAAAACAGCTGACTCTGTGTCACAAGATTTGCGAAAGCCATATTGATGGTTGTAAAGATATTCTGTTGCCTCTAAATAATCATGCAGTCTGTTATTCATTGTTTTTTCCATTATTTTTGAAATGATTGGTAGTAAGGAAATAGGTCTATAATTCTCCATATCATCCTTTGATCCACTTTTATAAATTGGTTTAACTTTCGCTATTTTCATTTTTTCAGGTATAATCCCTGATAAAAAAGATAAATTTATCAATTTTGAAATGATCGATGATATTTCATATTTAACAGTCTTTACAATGCTTACACTAATGTTATCAAAACCTGGAGATTTTCTTGAATTTAAGGAGTTTATGATATCTTCAATTTCTTCATCATCTGTTGGTTTTAAGTACATTGAATTTGAACTTAATTTGTCAATTCCCATTTTAAATGAAATAGGAATCTTTGCTGCTAATTTTGGTCCAACGTTTATGAAATGTTCATTAAATTCTTCGCATATTTCGTTGGGGTTGAATATTTTCTTGTCATTCTTCTTAATAAATTCAACATCCTTATTGGGTTCTTTCACTTTATTATGCATTATGGAATTTATGGTGTTCCACATAGATTTTTGGTCTCCATTAGTCAAATTTTGTTTATAGTAATCCTGTTTTTTTTCCCTGATGGTTTTTTTGACCAGTTTGTTATAATGTTGATATAATTCAGCAGCAGTTGATTCACCATTTTTTTCTTTCTTCATTTGAAAATATTTGTCACGTAATTTAATTAATTTAACTAATGTTTCATCAAACCAAGGTTTCGAATCTTCTTTTATTTTCAAAGTTGTAGTATAGGAGCAATTTTCAAATACATCGAGAATTTTTTCATAGATTATGTTAGGGTCTTTATATGTGTTTATAGGCATTTTCAAGAGTTCATTCTTCAGCATATCAACTTTAATTTTCTGTAAATCTATTCTTTTGAATTTTGTTTTTTTGATGTTACTTTTTAATGGAAGATTCACAATCTGAATTTTGTGATCACTAATTGGTGAGTCTTTCAGACATATTTCAATGTTTTCGCTCGAATTTGTGATGACATGGTCAATCAGACTGGTTGTATTGTTACTGACTCTTGTTGAAACATGTTTGTTGCATAAATCGAAGCTGTTTGATGAATATATGTCCATGAGTCTTTTTGTATCATTATCATTCTGCTTTGAAATATCAATATTTACGTCACCCAGTAATAAGCTTTTACATTTTAATTTACCCAAATTTTCCAATTTTTGATCGATGATATTATAAAAACTCTCTTTCCTGAAGGATGGTGGTCGATATATTCCACTTATAACAAAGTTGATAGTGCTTAATCTTACTGCCAGATAAGATAATTCCTGTTCCATTTTATCAAGTATCTCAAATTCCAAATTCTCATGGATAAAGATTCCCAATCCTCCCCCTCTCTTTTCCCTACTTGCATAAATAGAATGGAAATTTTTGAAATTATAGTATTTTTCTTCTTCTCTCCTCACCCATGTTTCGCTAATTACAATTACATTGATATCTTGGTCAGCTACTATTATATCAATTTCATCCATTTTCGTCTTCATAGATCTTGCGTTCATATATAATATTTTTATTTTTCTATCTATTTGATTATTCATCAGATTCAGATTAGTTTATATAATCGATTTGTTCTCTGGCAATTTTGATTCTGTTGAGATAAATAGGACACTGGATAGTATTAGCTTCATGTATATAATGATTTTCTTTTCCAAATTTAATGTGTGCCATTTTACAGTTTGTGCAACACGGAGTAGATTTATCGCAGTTTTTAACGTCATGTTCACCAGCACAAAAAGCGCAAACTTTATTGCGGTTACACTCTGCCGTTTTATGTCCATAGCCACAGCATCGGTAACAGTACCTTATATTGATATCTTCCTTAATTTTGCATTTATTCCATCCAATACATATTTCCTTATCAACCAATTTTTTTAAAGTTTGTCCTGAAGTTTCAACATAAGCAATGTATTTTTTTGAAAATTTTGACTGTCTGGTATATTTTACGTATAATTTATCATCCACGTCAATATGCCTAAGTACTCTCAATTCATCCTGGAGTTCTTCATCTGTGTATTCCCTTTGGAGTCCTATGAATACCATCCTAGGTCGATTCATTTTTGTGATATGTACAGTATAATCAGGACCCAATTCTTTTTCACTCAAATCTTTCATTCTTGCTATTTCTTCATTACTGTTTGTCTTTATAATGATTCCTCCATTTTTTAGTTCCCTCACACTTTTAATCGATGCTTTGGCTTTCACAGGATTTATTTTCTTATGTATTTCTTCTTTAGTGAGTTTACTAGTTTGAGTTTTTTTGGGTCTTATTATTAATGAAGGTATATTTTGTTGAAGGACTGGTTCTTTCACTGTGGCTCCACTGACCATTTCAGCATATGTTTTATTTTTATTCATGTCGGGCAATTTCGTTTCGAAAAGTTTTATTAGTTTATCATCAATTTCTTTCAGTTTTGTTGCAACGTTCTCATCTCTTTCCAAAATATCTTCTAGTTTTTCAATTTTCTTTATTATGTATTCTATTTTAGTATTTATTCCATGTAAAATTTCTTCTAGCGAGTTTTTTCCTGCTTCTTTACTTTCAACTATACTTTTTGTATCATTCTCTGTTTTCTTGATGAGACACTTATTACATACCCATTTAGATTTAAATTTCTTGATTTCATTGATTTCTTTCCTTGATAATTTGGAACAATTAAGGCAAATCCAATTCTCACAAACTGTGCATTGGATAGAATATGATTTTCTGTTGAAATGTGCTGAACAAATGGAACAAATTTCACCATTTTTGCTCAAATTAGCAATAGAATCTTCATGGTCGTCGTCTTGATGTCTTTCTGAGCTTCCTGCTTCTCTTTCATCTTGTGTGGAGATATAGAATTGTTTTCTGTATTGTGCAAACTTTTCATCTTCTGGGTATTTCGATGGTAGATAGAAGCTTTCTTCATCTGAATTTTCTTGTGTGGAATTCGTACTGGAAATTTTGATTTCTTCTGACTTTGACAATTTTTTTTTCTTTTTAGATGTCATGTCAAATTATTTCGATAAAATCTTTCGATTATTCTTCCAAAATCCTCTTTGTGGTATTCTGAGAGCGTACACTTTTCTTGGATTATTTTTCACATAATTAACACTATAATAATGAAAAATCTCAGAAAAAATGGCTTGAAAATTGCGTTTGATGTCACCGAAACTTCAATATTGCATCCCAGTTGACAATATCTCGCTCATAAAAATTCTTGACGGCATTACCACAATTAAAAGAATGATTGACTTGACTTTTTCACAACAAAAGGATAGCAGTTTTCCGAAAAAAGTACAGGAACATTGATTATTTCGCAGTTTTTTCTCTAAATTCCATATCAGAAATTTTGCGTTGCCGTTTCTCAAGGTATTGTAAAATCAAACTGGGAAATGAAAATAACATCAGAGTAGTGATTAAAGAATATATTTGATAACAAAAATATGGTCAGTTTTCATAGGGATTATAAAAATACTATAAAAATATAATTATCATGAATATACCATTATTTCAAACACAAATATGCTCAGAGATTTTATAAGAATTGTAGAAATACTATAAAAATATCATTATGAATGAATATACTATCATTTGAGTGTTTGATTTGGTTAGGGTTGAAAGAAACTAAAAAAAAAATCAATTAAAAATCTTTGACGTTATTGTTATAGTTTATGCAGTCAGTTGGAAAAACACATCACCACAAGCCGTCGGTCCCTTTGAAAGTTCAAAGAGTGCGGCAGCGCGATCTGACATTCGTTTGATGATCTGTTCAACTGACTTGGCATAAACTATACTACTAGGAACTCTGAAATGAGATGAACAAGAAGTCACAAAGATGATAATGGTCGAAGCCCTGAGGGGGAAGAAGGACGATCTAGCCTTCATAGCGATCTAGTGGCTTAAGTGCAAGGTGTATAGGTAGATTCATCAATCATACCTTGCGACTAAGTCGTGCATATAGACCCCTACGTCTATATGCTTACAGAAAAGACATCCATGTCAGATTCTGTAGACTATCGCAACACCTGTAATTCTCAAAGTGGTTTAATGTTCCACTAACAGATGGTGATAAACCTAGAACCTCAAGACTAAGCTAAGAGATTCTAGGGAAATTTCGTGAATCGATTGTCAGCTGATGCAAGACAGACTGTTTCGACTTGCCATAAGTCTCATCAGTTGCACTGGCCAGCTGGCAATCGATTCACGAAGGGTACCTCCATATATCAAACAAGTCGAAATTTCCCTAGAATCTCTTAGTCTTGAGATTCTAGGTTTATCACCATCTGTTAGTGGAACATTAAACCACTTTGAGAATTACAGGTGTTGCGATAGTCTACAGAATCTGACATGGATGTCTTTTCTGTAAGCATATAGACGTAGGGGTCTATATGCACGACTTAGTCGCAAGGTATGATTGATGAATCTACCTATACGCCTTGCACTTAAGCCAATAGATGGCTATGAAGGCTAGATGGTCCTTCTGCCCCCTCAGGGTGATAATGATTCACCGATACGTAGAGGATACACATATGTACAGGGGAATTCAAAATTCGATGTAAATATTTTAAGGGCCTATTGTTGGGATCAAAATAGGACTTTCACCATGTAAACATTTGTCCTTAAATAAACCCTCTGAGAGCTACAGCCACTGTAAGTTGAGTAAAAAAAAAGATTATCTGAAATTGTGATAACAACCGGATCAAGTGTAAGTATTCCATCAGTACTGTATGCCTCTGAAATTGCAGAGTCAAATGCGTTCCGACATACGATCATGAAGCATTTAACCCACTGCCTTTGAAAATGATGTGTCTTCCCCTTCTGGCAAACGGTTAGTTGTATGAAAAAATGCTAGAGACCGAATTCTTAAATTTTTTAAAGGCCCACAAGATGCCATTCAAAGTAAGAGTTTCTCTTTTGAAACATAAAAATTGGGCCAATTAGAGTGTGGACCCCCTCCAACTCCCCCAAAACTACATCATTTGGAAGCAAGAAGAAAATGTCTAAAAAGACAGAGGCATGTAAAATTTCAGAAGATTTGATCTGTTATTTCAGTCACACCTTTTTTTTTACTAAATTACAGTAGCTGTGTATGAAGAAAGTCCTATTTTGATCCTAACAATATGCCCTTGAAATATTTACATCGAATTCTGAATCACCCTAGATAAGTTTTGATCCTAATATCCTCAACCAAACCAAATCAGGCAGTAGAATATATTAGAAATTTGATTGTTACAATAATCTTGCACAATGTTGATTTTTTTTTACTTAACCTACTTAACCTACTTAATCTGTGAATATTGCATCCGAGATGGCATAATCTCACTCTCAAAAATTCTTCAAGGCATTACCTTCGAAATAAATCCCCGGATGCAGGTACAGCTTTTTGAACCCCTTGTTTCTGTGTTCGGCCGTTTGCATGCCACAATCCTCGGATGCCCTGTATCTCAGTCTCTGGTCGATCATCATCAGGAGTTCGTCGACCGAAGTATTGTGTGCGTGTTTCATGAACACGTCACAGAGGAATTCGATGTACCACGATCCCCTGTTCGTGTCCCTATGGGCTTTGAAACCTGGAAACAGGAACTCTTGGGTCAAACAAATATCTGCAATGCAAAAAAAACAGGCCACCCAAAAATTTTGCCAAACTGTTCGGCCTGTTAACTATTTCATTGGGCAAGTGGACTTATAATGAATTATTGGCATTCAATTACTACAGTGTCGTTAGGGTCCTAATAGTATATTATGTAACAAGTGTTATAAACGTCCTTTTAGTAACGAGTAGTTTAAGCACGAGCGGAGCAGAGCGGAGCGAGTGTTTAATAAACGAGTGTCTAGAAGAGTTTATAAACGCGTTACATACTATGATTTTTCTACGAACTCTGAAAATTACATTAACTACCTGCAATTCCTGCTAACCTACAAAATAATTCGAAAGGAATGGGAATTGAGAACATAATACATGCAACTGCATGCAACCAGCGAGACACGTATAAGTGATATTGGTTGTAGATATGTGTCCAGTTCATTGCTTACTAACCTTTGTTTCACGTTTATTGCCATGCTTAGCACAGAATGAATAAATTAATTTTTTTCTACTCACATAACTAAAATGGCATTTATCGTACGGATATGTACCACGCTAAATGATCGATTAATCACGGATTGTCGATCTGTGATTTATTCAAAATATTAAACACGTTACCATGGCAACACGATTTCTTAAACACATTACCATGGCAACGCAGTTCATTAAACACAGCTTCAGTAATTTGAGACATGTCTGGCCTGTCAATTGTATTAACTGTCAACTGTTATTTTCGAATTTTGTATCAGAATCATTCAAACAATATTCTTTTGTATCAGAATTCTTCATTAAAAATATATGCGAAAAGTAGACGAAAGTGAAATCCAAGAGAATGTTCTGGTACTTGCATATCTCCAAGAAGTGTAAAAATGAAGCATCCATCTTTGAGAACAATTTATTTATTCTGTGCTAAGCATGGCAATAAACGTGAAACAATGGTTAGTAAGCAATGGACTGGACACATCTACAACCAATAGCACTTATACGTGTCTCGCTGGTTGCATGCAGTTGCATGTATTATGTTCTCAAATCTCAATTCCCATTCCTTTCGAATTATTTTGTAGGTTTGCAGGAATTGCAGGTATGTTGATATAACTTTCGGAGTTCGTAAAAAAATCATAGTATGTAACGCGTTTATAAACTCTTCTAGACATTCGTTTATTAAACACTCGCTCCGCTCTGCTCCGCTCGTGCTTAAACTACTCGTTAAAAGGACGTTTATAACACTTGTTACATACTATACTATTTTTCAACACTTCTCACACTTTTTGCATGTAAATAATGAGTGTATGCGTTGTTCGAAATTGTTAAATTTCGGAGCTCATTTCAAATGTACCGTCATGGACACTATTTGGCGATACGTCGAATAAATGGTGACGTCAGCTTCTAATGCTGTTTCGTTATTGGTCAGATAATTTTCCATTCCCACTCACGAGGCGAGGTTGTCAAATCACCAATTATAATCAAGTTATCAAAAAGATGTAAGAGTCATGTCGTTGAATCAAATATAATAGGAGGAACCCATGTTATAATAGTTCATTATTGAGGCTGTGTCAAGTCATTCGTCCGACCACAGTGGTGATACCAGAATGGCCAATGTCTGACTACTGGACTTCCATTAGAAATTAATGTGGTAACTTTGTGGGCAGGTTTGAAACCAATATTACCAAACAGCTGGTTGGTCAGACTGATGGTCAGACTTTATACTGAACGTATGTGCCCGGTCGAACCACAGACTTGACACAGCCTGACTCTTTTGAGCAACCAATACTCCATAACAAAATTTCATGTAAATGTTGGAGACTTGACAACATTGTACTGAATGCTGAGAAGGGACAAGACCCCGCCCACCAGTCTGTTACCCCCGAAGTATCGGGGGTAACAACCAGTCGCGTGCGCGGTGTTGTCACGTTCACCGCTTCAAATGACCTCTAGTATGATTCAATATAATTACTATTTACACAACTGTATTATAAGCAATAAGCCACAAATCATAAGGGAACATTTTGAGAGATTGATTTCGTATTGCTAAATAGGAATATTACCAATACATCTTTGAAAATTCATTAATGTTCGAATAACTAATATTTCACAAGTTCCCAATCATATTTCAACACATGGCAACTATGCTATGGTCTTCCCCTACTTACGAAATCGTACATCAGTTTTTACTTGCGGTAAGATTCTATCCGTTTGAAAATTGCCGTGGCAATATTGATGATTTTAGCATCTAGAAATCGACTGAAACATTCTAAAAAAAATATGAAATCGAAAGGTATTTGAGTGAGAATTCTTTTTGAGAAAAAAAAATTGTCCACTCGCCTATTCTTGTCCGATTTTGGTGAAATTTCGACCAAATCGTATATTCATGTTTCGGCATGTTAGCCTGAATATCACTTTCTAAGAGAAGCTGATGGCTTGATCATTATACAAGGAAAACAAAGGTTACCCTTTCACCCTCAACTTCTCAACACCCTGTGGCAAAGGTGGGTGGTTAAACCTAGCTTTATTATGTTCTGTATTGAAGTGTGATCCCTTCTTAACACCAACATTTTTTATTCACGTCGATAACCACTTTTTAAGAGATGATACACGTTTTTTTAAAGACAGTATGGATTAAATTTTTATTATAAATACCATTCTGCTTCTAGACCAGTGCTGAAGCCTTTGAAAACGGTAAAATCTATTGGAAAATAGAGAGAATATAACAAAGATAAGAGGGAAAATGAATTACGGGCGATCTAGGGTCGGGGTAGGGTGAGTTTTCAATGGTAAAAAACGGTTTATCTCGATTTCCGGAGAAAAAAGTTGAATGGTAAAGTTGTAGGTCATTAAAAGATCTCTAACTTTTATATTCACACTTTTTCCATATAACCTCAAAATTCATGTGAAAAACTCGAAACCAAGTTTTTGGTTTTTTATCTCTTTCGCAACAAAAAATATTTTTTCACGAAATTTGGTAAATACATACCTAGTCATGTCCCAAATACACTGTAATTTTCTTGATTAGAAATGTTAATTTTTTCACCTTCCACAACCTGGAGCTAAAATCTACTCCTTTTTTCCCTTGTACTATAATGAATAACTATTGTATTCCTGTATTTTTTACTATCAAAGTAGTTTGTATACCCTCTAAAAACTCGATGTTTGGTTGTAATGGAGTACGTAAACATTTTGAAGAATCAATAATAAAGCCGCTTTATTATTATCATTATATTGTGAATGCTGTAATCCAAAGAGTTTTTCTGAGATACAGTAAGTCTAAACCGAGGATTACATAATTATCTTCATCGCATGTCTTGTGTCATGGTCATTGTCGCAGACTGACCTCTGCGAGGTGTCACCACCCCGTATATGATTCGGGAACGTCAAGTGTGACTGACATCCGATTCCGATTGAATAAAAGTCGTGTTTGAGAGTTATCATTCTAGTCTTTCAATCATCGCGTATTAATATTGCCGTTCAGATATGGATGTATCTCAGTACGGTCAGCACAGACCACCGCCGGCATCATCGTTCCTGCAATGGCGGCTCAGCCCCACGTTGGGCGCCATGTTGTGGATGTCGCACACTGACCGCTGCGAGGTGTCACCACCCCGTATATGATGAGATTCGGGAACGTCAAGTGTGACTGACATCCGATTCCGATTGAATAAAAGTCGTGTTTGAGAGTTATCATTCTAGTCTTTCAATCATCGCGTATTAATATTGCCGTTCAGATATGATGGATGTATCTCAGTACGGTCAGCACAGACCACCGCCGGCATCATCGTTCCTGCAATGGCGGCTCAGCCCCACGTTGGGCGCCATGTTGTGGATGTCGCACACTGACCGCTGCGAGGTGTCACCACCCCGTATATGATGAGATTCGGGAACGTCAAGTGTGACTCGACATCCGATTCCGATTGAATAAAAGTCGTGTTTGAGAGTTATCATTCTAGTCTTTCAATCATCGCGTATTAATATTGCCGTTCAGATATGATGGATGTATCTCAGAACGGTCAGCGCAGACCACCGCCGGCATCATCGTTCCTGCAACGGCGGCTCAGCTCCCAAAGCCTATCGCCATTCAAGAGGTTTCCAGCTCCATCAGATGTGGAGCTTGATTTGGAAGAACCTCTTCGACAACATCATGAATATCACTATGAGTTCTGAGTATGTTGGATTGTTTGTGAACCTCTTGAAGTGTGTCATAGAAAAACAAAGTTGGTAATGGCATGATGCCATATGCGATGAATAAGGGTTTACAGTGTTGCTATTTGAATCTCTATTAATGGAAACTTTGACCAGTTTTAATCCAAGGTGAGCAGTGTATTTATTGAATGATTCAATTCCCCTATGGTTTTGTTCTTTTAGGAAAATGCTCATTATTACATAGTTCATAGATATAAAGGGTGGGCCATCTATTGGTCCGATTTTGAGTAGATCATTAAATAAACAAAAGCTGATTTTTTTGCAACGAATTTCGCTTTACTTGCTACAGTGTTTCTTCCGTTTAAGTATGGAAAATGATTTCATTGAAATGTTGGCCACGGCTGGCTCGGCAGTAGGCCATCCTGGAACACCAATTTTTAAGCACTTTGTTTACTGTTTCCTGGTCAATTTGGGAAATTTCGGCACGAATATTCTGTTTCAAGTGATCAATTGTTTGGGGATTGTCGGCATAAACATTACTCTTCAATGTACCCCACCCCCACAGAAAAAAGTCCAGCGGCGTCAAATCGCAGCTGCGAGCAGGCCAGTGGACATCGCCGAAACGGCTAATCACACGGTTGTTCACTCATGACAAAATCACATTCAAAATAAGTTTTCAGAATTTCAAAGCGTTGGTCCAAAGAAAACCGATCCATATTAGTTCAGCGGAAGGTTAGAACTAACCTAGAATCAACAACTTATGGCGCCAAAGTTGACAGCGCCATTATCGACTGGCTGTTCAAAATCGGACCAATAGATGGCCCACCCTTTATTAGTGGTTTTATTCATGATATCGACTGCGATTTCTTCGTTTCCATACAGCTATGGTTTCATCCACTTGAAGACAATTCCTTGGGTTATTTTTGATTTCAGGAAAAGGTTTGAAACTCTTTATTTTGTTCTTACTCTGGATCGATTTTTAGCACTCAAATGAAATATATTCCTACTTCCCACTGCAACTATAAAATTTCTTTACCAAAGAATGATAAGGAGATAAATAAAATAATCTTAAATACCTATGTAACAAAAATGTGACAAGTAATAAAATTTATGACGATATGACATATTTCAGAACTGGAGTTCACAAAAATTAATTTTTCTTCTGAATGAATTCAATTAGTGAGCTGAGTATACTGCTACAATCAGGTTTCACCAACATAAAGCCATGTGTGTAATAAAACTTCCATAATGTTGCTTCTACATTGGTAGAGGTTATTAAGTTTGCAACTTGGAGCAAAGTCCTCCATTGGTGCACGTATACAAGTCAATGAATAATAATGACAGATTGACGGATATCTAAGATTTCATTTCATTCCATAATGATTTAATATTGTCTGGCAGATAGAAGATGTATAAGAATTTCTTCAGATTCAACTTTGAATTATTCTTAATAATGCTGGAATCGCAGTTGAACCTTCAACAACATAGTTTAAAACAATTATGTTTTTGTAGATATTCATCAGTGTGTATAGAGTCAGTGGAAATGTTCTGTTATAATTCCGGTAGAGCCCATCAGATTAATTTACTGTCTAAATCTAACAGGCAGAAATTCCTCTTTTGGAAAACAAAATTGGTGCAAAATTCTGTATTGAAAGCTCTAGACTGTTCCCTGTTCCACGTGTAGCAGTCATACCAATATTTTTCCAAAGTATTTTATTAAAATATTTCATGAAAGTTCAAAACAAATTTTGAGGTTAAGGGCAGGATGGACCATCCTTGGTCAATACTCACTGAATCTGCTAGTGACTCCACCGATTTTAGCCGAAAAATATATTTTAAAAATATTATTGAATTAATTATATTTATGTGATTTGCTCCCCTCTATAGCTCTATGAATGAAAATACTAGTATTATTTAGATATTCCCAATAGAAAATAACACGTCGCTCTACCTGACGGCAACAACCTGAACACTTCTGAGCGGTTTCTTTTGATGAAGTGACCTTATGTGAGCAAAGAGCATAAACAAAAAACAAATGTGAATCAATGAAAACAAAGTAAACATGCCGCTTTGACAGCTTTCAAGAACTCCGATAGGTGGCGTACTTTATCGTGAATATTTCTAGTAAGTAGAAATCAGATGATTTGCCCAAAATGTATAGAAGAGAGAAAAACAATACAGCAAAGTAACGAACAGCATTGTAAGTGAGTTTTTAATTCTCTAGAATCAGCAAATATATTATCAGTATTAGAGAAAATATATAGTATCCTGTAGAATCCATGAAATGGTCATGAAAACGCATTCAAAGAGGATATTATTCAACTTCTGCATATCATTTTTGCTATTAGTGAAAAATAACTTGGATAAAACCCTGTTCCTACCAACAGACAATAGATTTTTCCATATTTCAAACCAAGAATCATATTTTTGTTTTTTTTCTGTTCTCACAGAGGAAAGTGGATTCCAGAATAAATGAACAATTGAAAATATCGGAATATTTCTCCGTACATACCTTGCAATGTGGAATAACCAACCAACATATCTTCAGTAGAACGTTTTCTAACAGTTATGGAAGTAGAAGTGTTGGACTTGTTAGGTATAGAATCATGTTCAGTTGTATTTTGTTTATTTTCAACATTTGTGGCAATGTCAATTCTTGCTCCCCTAGAAAAAGTCAAAATAATTCAATGTTCTGCAGGTATGAATTGGTTTTGGAGATGAAAAAATTAAATTTGGGAAAACCTGATAGTAGAGGAGGCAAAGAGGCGAAATGGGTATTTACTCGAGTGCCATGGGGACCTACTAGATTAAGAAGATGCTAAAGAGAAAAAAGTTTGAATGAGGTATGCCCTTTCACTGGTGGGAAAAGCGTGTACAGGTTTCTAAAAATGTAAAAAAAAAACAGTCACAAAGACATACTGGGGCACTTCAGATATTAATAGTGTATTAATTCCACCCAGGTGTTTCTGATAACCGAAAAATATCAATCTGCCGGTTAACACGGTGGGGGTGGCCGTACGAAGGGGGCAAATAGGTAAAAAAAAACTATTCCAGTTCGTCAGATATTGAAAAGGGATGTCAAGTGAACCCTCAAGTAGCTGATATTCAAAAGACTGACGATTTGGACGCGACCAAAAGTCATAACTAATTTTATGCACTAGCGGGCCGTAAAGTGCACTTTACCGCCCGGTTTTGCGGGCGTTAAGTCGCACTTTACCGCCCGCGGGCTCATTATGGCCCACGGGCCGTAAAGTACACTTTACCGCCCGCTGTTCTCAGTCACCTTATATCCACATATCAATTTATGGAAAACCTATGACAACAACAAAAAACAAAATATTCCTAGATTCTGATATATCCAGCGGTATATCGTAAACTTCTTCTTCATCCGATTCCATAGTCTCGCTATTATTATTATCACTAATTTTACTTTTCAATCAAAGAATGACAATTCAGCTCGTTTATTGGATGTATTGCTATAGACAACAACCATCAGATTGATTGACAACATCAAAATAAGTTAGGTTTATATACTGGGTATGCATATTGTACAATTCTGAACAATGAATCTCTTCTAGAGCTGAAAGAGTTTTACTATTACGATAATTGCAATATTCGTACGATAATTTTCATATGTAAATCATCCATGAACATTACGCTTCTCTTGATTACTGAATTTATACGTAACAAATTAAATTCTGGGGAATATTAGTTCATCGAAATCTATAGTCATTACTTATGAGTCATAAAATAAACCACTAGTGCATAAAATTTTGTATGTATCTCGTGCGTGAAATGCGTTTATGGCCTTCACGCCACAGGCCATAAACGCCTACTTTACGCCCTTGATACATAAATAACTATTATTCAATGACAAAAAAAATTGTGTACTTGAAATACTCCAGTGCGTCAGATTATTATATAGACGGTTCATCTTGATATCCTTGTTGTATTGACCCATAAACTGACAATTATGTAGAGGAATTTCCTTTATCTGACAGTCGGATTTTTTTCGTTTACTGAATGCTATGAATGTAATAACTAAATTATGATATATACAGGGTGCGTCAGATTCTAGTAGCACGACTTCAACAGCTCAAAGTATCTACAATTTTGATATGAAAATCTCATGTAGACATAAAGGGTACAACATTGGGTATTGGGCCGCCCCCTGTAACTTTTGCATCCGTAAACGGATTTTTCGGAAATTGTACAGCTATATTATACAGGGTGGGTCACGGTAGATGGCACCTTAGACGTTTACGGAGAACGGGACATAAGATCATTCTGAAAATTCGGTTACTCAAGTCATTGCTCTTGATCTATCGATCTAAAATATTTTCAGCTCTGCGGCGTTGCCGCTTCTATCGAAAAGTAGCAACAACTTTGTTATTTTAAATGGAACACCCTGTATTTTATTGCATCTTCAGATTCTCTCTGAAGAGCTGATTTCATCGATATATCACATTTGGGGTCTAGCGGAAATGATTACAGTGATATAGGGTGTGAAAAATCGACATTTTTCAACTTAAGGAATTTTTTTTGTCGAAACTATTCATTATTGGTCAAAACGGTTTACATGTCCCTATCTCAACTTTTGATTAACTATCTACTGATATTTAATTGGGACATATACCGGGTGATCAAGAATCTGAATTCTGCACCACCCTGTATTTGTTTCAACTAAATATCAGTAGATAGTTGATCATAAGTTGGGATAGGGACATGTGAGCCGTTTTGACCAATAATGAATAGTTTCGACAAAAAAAATTCCTAAAGTTGAAAAATGTCGATTTTTCACACCCTATGTCTCTGTAATCATTTCCGCTAGACCCCAAGTGTGATACATCGATGAAATCAGCTCTTCAGAGAAAATCTGAAAATGCGATAAAATACAGGGTGTTCCATTTAAAATAACAAAGTTGTTGCTACTTTTCGATAGAAGCGGCAACGCCGCAGAGCTGAAAATATTTTAGATCGATAGATCAAGAGCAATTACTTGAGTAACCAAATTTTCAGAATGATCTTATGTCCCGTTCTCCGTAAACGTCTAAGGTGCCATCGACTTTGACCCACCCTGTATAAGCAACCATTTCGGATTTGATCACCTAACAATCCTGTATGGCGGACTTCCGGTGTTTCTGGAAATGCCGGCAACCTCGTTTCTTCAAATGGAACACCCTATATATTTTCACATATTCAAGTACAATAGATCAAAACAAGTGCAATCTTATTGTCGATTGTCACTTTTTCGGACATGCGCATATAAATTCGGCTCTGGCGGGAAGCTTAGGTTTCAACTTAGGACGTTGGGTAATCTGTGCTATTCGCGGGAATCAATGTCACCAGGTGGCGCTCGCTTTTCATCGTTCCATGTCAAAGCCACGTCAAAACTGGGGGAAAACAAACTCAATCCTCACTCAATCCCATTAGTGCCATTAGCTTGTGTACTGTGTACTGATAAGAGTGATTTTTAAATTTCTTGACATTAATTGTCAATATTCGATCGAAAACGCTAGTAATGCCTGTTGTAGATGTTCTTTTGGCAGATATTTTGCTCTATTTAGATGGAAAAAGCCGACCACTAGTGGGAGGAGAAGCAGTTCTCCATGCTAATCATGTGATTTTGTGTGAGGCAGAAGACTTCAACAAAAGGTACATTTTTGCACTTTGTCTAAAAACTTTAGCGATGAAATCTTCTACACATGAAGTAGGAACTCCTGTAGAACAATGGATTTGTATTTGTTCATCCAAAGCAGGACAATCTGGGTATTGTAAACATGTTGTAGCTGTTCTTTTATATGTCAATGAATTTGCTCGTCATAATTAGTATGAATTGTTTGAACTATCTCCAATTCTTCACCTGTTCACTGTTCACTTAACTAATAAAAATGTAATGATGTAAAAAAATTGACCAACTCAACTACCAACAGTGCCAACACTTTATGTCATTGACAAGTTTGACTACAGCTACAGCAATATATGGGGACAGTGGCCAGCGTAGCCTCGTGGTTGAAGCGTCAGTATTCTATCCACGTTGGATTACAGGTAGGTGGGTTCAATTCCCACAACGACCACAGACATTTTTCTGATGGCCTAAGAAGGTAAAAGGTAAGACACCCTTCTCTTGAAGACTTATGAGGGTTGCTCCTAAGGGGACAACTGAATGATGGATAAGAACAATGATAGTTGCTACTTAGGCTTGTGCATATTAGCAGATTATGATATTCTCCTGATCCGTGAATAATTCCTTCCAAAATTAAAAAATTAATGACTCTGGAGACTGTCCAAGTGACGTTCATTTTGCAACTTTGTGACTCTCCTCTTTCCTTATGTCAGGCTCAAATCTCAAGTTTATTGAAATGCACACTTTTCTGCATGTAATTAACTTACCTTGCCTAAATCTGATGTGCTGGAGTTTTTTTAATGATTGATTTTTTTTACTAATCTGATCAGCTGCCCTAGAAGTTCAACACCATATAAAGAGCCCAGGTATGGTAGGAGTGTAGATACAACCTTCTGGGAGCAGTAAACTCTCAAGAGGCATTTTCAAAGAATGATTTGGTGAAGAGGCTGCTAAACCTCATCAAGGTAGCGAACCTGTTCACCTAAGTCAACAGCATGATCAGGAATACAATAGGCCCAAAGGCTGCAGTGTTTTGGGCTTCAAACCCTGACTGATCATTCTGCTATTAATCAATCAATCAATCAATCAATCAATGGTAGGAGTACTTCACAAGGTGCAAGGTGACCCCCCCTATGATATTGTTCCATACTCCAGTAAATCCCAAAATCTCTGCATGAGCTCCCCTACTATAAGCATTTACTGGATAAACTTAACTTTTTGATAATAAGAGTGTTTTTTCAACCTCTGAAGGGATAGAAGTTTTTGAATTCTGTACAATATTCTGAATCATTTTCTGAGTTTTTCATATTATACACAGTTTTGTGTTTCGTGCTTGGGTGGTCTAAGTTTCAGAAATTGTGATAGTGAGAGTGGGAAGAAAAACTTTTGAGATTTAGGAAGGTAATAAAATTGTGATAGTTCAGAGCTGAAAGAAAAACTTTTATAGTTACTTTTGACATGAAGGCATTGTGAAAATGTATGCCTAGACAACTTTGACTAAAATTAATGTGGATGACAAATTTTCTGGCTGATAATCAAATACATAAATATTTATTTTCTTGATAAATTATTGCAGACATACAATTACATTGACACCTATAAGAATATTTACCTGCACATAGGCAAGATGAAAACTTTTGGCTTTCCTCTCATGGACTGACAATTTTCATTAGAAAAAGTGTTCTGTACATCAGTTGAATCCAGTTGACCTTCATCTATTCCATAAATGACTGTATCATTTGAATTTTCAGTTCCATGGCTCATAATAATGATGAAGAAAGCATCATAATCTTTATTATTGGGGCAGTCACGAAATTCATATAAGATTGTTTGCATTTCCTTAAAAATGTAAGATGAGATGAACTATTTGGATTTAGAAATTCAAATTTGAAACAAAAATAGCTACTGGATTTGCAGCTGAATTTTCATTCAATAGGACTTTGAAATAAAATGTGTATCATGAACAAATGAATGAAAAAATAATAATACATACTCTGGCAGTTTTATTCTCATGTTTGACAAAGTCCCATCCTCCCATTTGATAGAATAGTTCCTCCAAGTTCTGACTGTCAACTTCTGCACCATTTCTATATGGATGGTTTTGGGAGAATCTGTAATTATTAATTATGACAGCTCTGCCCCTGTTTATAGACCTGGACTTATAGAACTCCAAGTTATGGTTGTGTTCATAAGTGTCAAAAAAATTTTTAGAACATGTAACTTGAACATTCAAAGGAGTAGTACTAGGATCAACATGTAGATTGTGATTTTGTAGTTCCAAATTGGGCAGATCCCCAGAGTCTTCATTGTAAACAGCATCTTTAAAAACACTGGCCCCTGAAAATAAAACAAAGATGATTGAACTAGAGTATTTTTATAATTAATTAGGTATTCCTGGACCTGTTCTTGATGGCCTCAGAAATAGATCAGCAATTTGTTTCTGATTTGTCTCTATCAGGCTTTCCAAAAAGATTTTGAAAACCACTTGATCCTTTTTCTGAATATTGAAAAAGAAAACTCTTTTGTTCTGTCTAGCATCATTTGTCTAAAAAATAGATTACAAAAAGCTTTGTTAGTAGTACTGGCGACAAATTAACGAATTTTACTAACGGAGAATATTTCGTTTATTTCTTTCTCAGTGAAGACTCCTTTGTCCAACATCAGTGGTACCAGGACATCTACATTGCACTTTTTCATGAGAGTCACAAAATTTTTAATTATCAAATCTTTAGATTCCTGAAACATTGTGAAATCGTTTTTCTATTCCTTGGAAAACTATTTATGACTTTGTTAAATCTTTGAGCACCAGGGTAATCAGTCCCACAATATTCTATTTGTGATTAATTTGAATATTATTATGAATATTTAAAACTCATCGGAACTGACATGTGTCAACTGTCATCAGGTAATTTTTGATTTGTTGATTAATGTTGTGTACTATGAATGTTGTGTCCTATAAAGTTGCGTTGTATTGAGTCTAGTGCCTCTAGTGGTAGTGGATACTACGTCGTTGAGTGGTAGACCAATGACGGCTAAATATCTAGACTCTGACGGGATTGGGTAGACTAACTAGTCGTCCTTGGACGGACTAGTACTACTTGTAGTACTGCTGGTTTGCCATGAGAGTAGAACGGTTAAAGACCAATGGGAAAGAAATGCTTCCTCATCAAATGCATGGAGAAGGAAATGAAACAAACAGCAGAGAACAGAAAACAATCAGAATGTCCCTACCGGATCTGGTGAAATTAGCACCATAGCACCCTAGGAAGTCAGAAATCCAAGAAACACAAAAGAAGAAGAAGAAGAAGAAGAACGACACAAACATCAGTAACGTCACATAGTCATCTCGTCTGAAAAAATTTTTAAAGGTAGTGAAAAATAGTAGAATATTTATAATTCAAAGGAAAATGCTTTTTGAAAAATGTATTCTCATTGCCATAATTTCGCTTTTATGTATTGTCGTTGAAGCACAATGGAATACTAAAGATTTCATGAAAAGAGAGCATTCTCTAGTGAAGCCCTATTATGGTAAGTATACTTAATAATTCATGAGCGAAAAATTTTCATATTGATATTTCTATATTCTATCTAAAGGTTCCGGCCTTGATATTCCTTTCTGGCAATTTACTGGGAATACAATAGTCACCCCTAACTATATTAGATTGGTTGATGATACTCAAAGTAGAAGTGGGGCTATCTGGAATACATTGGTTTGATAATCATTGTTGTGCATTAAAAAACCATGAATTATGATGATTAATATTTTTAGCCAGTATCAAGTCACAACTGGGATTTGCAAGTCCATTTCAAAGTTCATGGAAAAGGAAAAGACTTGTTTGGAGATGGTTTTGCAATTTGGTATGCCAAAAACCACTCAATAGCTGGTCCTGTGTTTGGAAGTGTGGACTTCTTCCAAGGACTTGCTATCATCTTGGATACTTACAGTAACCACAATGGACCACACAATGTAAATATTGAAAAGGCTACTTGTACATAACTTACTACACTAACAATCAAAATGTATGTTATCAAATATTGTTTTGTAGCATCAACATCCCTATATCTCTGCTATGATAAATAATGGTTCTCTGTCCTATGATCATGATAGAGATGGCACCCATACCCAGTTAGCTGGTTGTGAGGCAAAGTTTCGTAATTTGAATTATGATACCCACATATCAATCAGATATGAAAAGGATACTCTGACAGGTAGATATCAGGACATAATATGTATAAGTCTGTGTTATAAAAGAAAAAAAAACTGATTTTTTTCTTTAGTGTCCACTGATATTGAGAATAAAGCAGCTTGGAAGGAATGTTTCAAAGTTCAAGGTGTAAGACTTCCTACTGGTTATCACATTGGAATATCTGCTACTACTGGGGACCTCTCAGACAACCATGACATCATGTCTGTGAGGTTGTTTGAATTAGACCTTCCTGAAGAGGTGAGATAGATTTTATGATATTTCCCCTAATTCACTTGACAAACAACATAATGCTTGAGGATTATGAAATTTTCCAACTGCCTATTTGTTCCATAATTTCAGAATGAAGGTGCAGAAGACAGATCACACATAGTGCCATCAGCATCATATTTTGAAGCACCAAGGGACCATGTAGAAGATCCCAAGCCATCTAACCTTTCAGGTATCAAGATATTTTTGCTGATGCTGCTGGGAAGTATTGCCATTGTGGCTTGCATTGTAATTGGCATTATGTTTTACCAGAAACAGCAAGAAAAAAGTAGAAAAAGATTCTACTGAAAAGTCTGTTCAAATTGTGTTTGTGTGAGGTAATGGATGACTGGATGAGTTGTTTCTTTTTGCTTCAGGTTTGGATTTGAAAATAAATCTTGGAATGCTCATGTTTTACCTCAATAGATATTGTTTATAATGGGTTTTCATTATTGTTTCACAACACTTGTTAAATCTTCAGTTCTTTCTTTTTACTCTTGTTTTTTTTTGTATTATGTGATACTTGTGGTGATAAGGTCAGTAACCAAAATACAATATTTTCATGATGGATATATAGAATATTTATTGTGAGCTAGTTCTTTGTATTATTCATCATTACTTATGACTGATAATGTATATTTGCTTCATTATACAGGGTGTTTCAGTTTTTTGTAGCAGGACTTTAACAGCCTGAAGAAGACATTTTTTCAAGAAAATCTCTAACAAACATATATGCGTGGGAGCTTCGTTTCCGATTTACAGGGTGTCAAAGTTTCAGATATTTTTTATGTTTTTTTTTTTTTAATTTTCTCCTACAATTTTCGGAATAATTGATTGAAATTTGGTACACCTAATACACTTCAAAAACTCAATATTTGAGGCTATTGAGCGTTTTTGAATACCTACAGGGTGATAGACTTTCAGGGGTCATACCCAATTTAACCCTGTAGAACTTTTTTGCGTGCCGCCTCTGCTTTCAATGGGACATAGAATCAGATTGTCTCTGCAATTTGGAAATTTTTTGCCCCTATGTATGTTTTTCGAAAACTGTATGGTTTTCGAGATAAATAAAAGTAGAGTCCGAACCACTTCTAAGGGTACTGATAAAATTAGAATTGCCGTTTATGACATTAAATTATTAAAACTCACAACACCTCAACCATCAGAAGCAACAGTCTAATGATGTATAGCGCACAGTCCCTGATATCGAAAGTTTAGCCAGTTTCAGTTATACAGGGTGTCCTAGAATTTTCTACAATACAATTTCAGATTTTGCAATTCAGTTAGAGAAGTTTTTTCAAAATAAAAACATTTTTTCTTTGTTTTTTCTAGTTTTGATTATAATGGTGTTCAAAAAATTCAATCTAATTTTGCAACTGAATTTCATTTGGTATGGAAGCTTTCTGTCATTCTATTTTCCAATAAAATGTTTGAGAAATGTCAAATAAGTGTTTGAGAAATAACGGTTTTATTACAAGTAATTTATTTTTGGCATTGAATCTCGAGATCCATACAGTTTTCGAAAAATTTACATAGGGGCAAAAAGTTTCCAAATTGAAAAGACAATGTGAATCTATGTGTCATTGAAAGCAGAGACGGCACGCAAAAAAATTCCTTCAGGGTTAAATTGGGTACGACCCCTGATAGTCTATCACCCTGTAGGTATTCAAGAACGCTCAATAGCCTCAAATATTGAGTTTTTGAAGTGTATTAGGTGTACTAAATTTCGATCAATTATTCCGAAAATTGTAGTAGAAAATTCAAAAAACATATAAAAAATATGAAACTTTGACACCCTGTAAATCGGAAACGAAGCTTCCACGCATATATGTTTGTATGAGATTTTCATCTTATAAAAATGTCTTCTTCAAGCTGTTGAAGTCCTGCTACAAAAAACTGAAACACCCTGTATATTGATGAAGAAACTGATATTCTAAAACACCAAGAATTTTCTTATGATCATATTTGTTCAATTAATTATACTGAAAAACAGCTACAAAACAAATGGCCATTTTCCTAAATATTTGAACATAAATCAATATGGAATAAGTTGGTCCTACCAAGTTGATTAATAATTGTATTTAATGATTAAATAGAGAGATGACAATTGTATGGTATGGCTAATTTCTATTTATTGAAAACAGTATTGTGCTTTTTTTATGTGTACTACTCACATAGTACATGTGATTGAAATCCAGAGACCTGAGCAAAAAATAAACTGAAAAATTTATCAGAATATTGTTGATTGGTCCACATTATACCAAAAATTTGATCATAATTATGGGCAAAAAAATAGACTACTCAATCATCAACAGGATCAGGATGATTGTGTGATTAATCTTTGCCCAGACCTAGGCTCATTTGGCAAGAGCTCATGTACATGTAGCTGTTATTTTTCGGAGGTGTACTCAATTTCTTAATTGTAGTAATTTTTTTCAATGATGTTTGAGATAGAGTCCGACCACGTTAACTTTGGGACAGCATGTGACGCAACGCATATGCATATTCAATGCATACGCGACCACGTGCTGTCCCAAAGTTATCGTGGTCGGACTCTACATACCGATTATTTCTATTTTTTGTGAAAAACTGGAATTTTGGTGGTTTTTGCATTACTCATGACAGTACATTTTCAAAACTCCTCCCTGGGCACTGTATGTATATACATTTGTATACTCTCAAAGGAGCATCTGAAATAACTTGAAGGACTGAAATATATTAGACTGCCAAAGAATATTTCAGCAAATTAGGTCAACTGCTATTATATTGAAAAGAGTGGTAGCAGTTGGAATATTATTTATACAGGGTGAGTCATTAGTGTGGCAAAGTGAAATAACGGCTTTACTCTTTGAGATAGATAGACAAAAATTTCAGAGATGTTCTAGGATCATGAGCAGTACATTTCCAAATTATTTTGCTTTATAAAGGGTGACTCAGAAATGCGTGGCGTATCAAAGTTATACTTTTTCATGAGGGACACCCTGTATTTCATTGCATTTTCGCATTCTCCTTTGTGAGCTGATTTCATCAATGCATCACACTTGGGGTCTAGCTAGAATGATTACAGAGATATAGGGTGTTCAAAATCGAGATTTTTCAACTTTAGGATTCTTTAGCGTCGAAACTATTCATTATTGGTCAAAACGGCTTCCATGTTCCTATTCCAACTTTTGATTTACTATCTACTGACATTTAATTGAAACAAACAGGGTGGTTCAAGATTCAGCATTCTGATCACCCTTGTATTTGTTCCAATTAAATGTCAGTAGATAGTAAATCAAGAGTTATGATAGGGACATGGAAGCCGTTTTGACCAATAATGAATAGTTTCGACGCAAAGAAATCCTAAAATTGAAAAATCTTAATTTTGAATACCCTTTATCTCTGTAATCATTCTTGCTAGACCCCAAGTGTGATGCATTGATGAAATCAGCTCACAAAGGAGAATGCGAAAATGCAATGAAATATAGGGTGTCCCATAAGAAAAAGTATAACTTTGATACGCCACGCATTTCTGAGTCACCTTGTATAAAGCGAAATAATTTGGAAATGTGCTGCTCATGATCCTAGATCATCTTTGAAATTTTTGTTCATCTATCTCAAACAGTAAAGCCGTTATCTCACTTTGCCACACTAATGACTCACCCTGTATTTTCAAAAGTAAGAAACATACACATTGAATATTTCCAAAAATTTTATATATTTCAGATTTAAATTATAAAATGTGATTTGTAAATAAAAATAAAGACTTTTTAAGTATAGTTGACTAGTACATTATTTTATGGTTCTGTGGTTTTTAGAAGGAAGTACATTTCCAGTATGTTGAGTACATCAGTACTAAAATCTTACAGCACACGCATATACACAAAACATCTAACATTATAATATATACTCGAGGAATATCAATAATCAGGGAAAACATCAACTTTCAACATACAGAATAATATAAAACATCTATAAATACATTGAAATAACATGGAAAAACATGAGCTGGATTCAGACAACTCACTTTATGTTTACCCAATAGATAAGATATAACCTCTAATCAAGTTCACATTTCTCCCCTCAGATCCAGCATAATTGTGTGCAATTGCATGAATCCACCTTTGTTTCATACAAAATGGCTTCAAATAATAAATATATGTTTAACCAAAGGAGTACAAACTGATGTACTATATTTTGACTAAACTCTAATTGGGAGCTAGAATCAAAACTGTAGGGTTAGTTCAGTATAATTATTCTCTTCTTGAGAATGGGTCGAATGATAAGAGAATTGAATTGAAAAAATTATGGAGACATAAAATGGTGTTAAAACATAATCAATTCATTTTGCACTCACCGTCAAAATTATCGATCTACTCAAAATCTTGTTTTGACACCCTGTATATTCTTATTTTGTTATCAAGCTACATTGAGGTACTCAAATTTCTTATTTTGATTTGAAAAAATAACTTTATTAATGTGAAATATACAAGGGTTTCAGAGAAAAGTTCTAATTTTCAGGCAAAACTTGTTTTCAACATACAAAAATTCCTCTTTTTTCTAAAACCGAAACCCTTTAATGTATCTTCTATAAACATGAAGTTTCTGTGACAATTGACACGTGAGAATGTAAGGAATAGAAATTTACTTGATAATGAAATTAGAAATTAAAGGGGGTAACCACTACATAGATTGTGTGAAGTTAGATTAAAAATCCACGTTATATTATAAGTCCAATAAATTAAGGAGGAAAAAAAGGCAAAGTTAACGTTAATTACGCACTATTTTCATCTTCCGGTTGGAAGTAGCTTTTGGTACCTCATTAAACATGAGACAAAGTTTGACGGGAAAACGCGTGCGATGGCGGAGAAAATGGCCCCAAAAGACCAGGAATAGTTATTTATTATACAAGGGAAAAAAGTAGTAGATTTTAGCTCCAGGTTGTGTTGTCTCCCGACGCGTAGCGGAGGGAGACAAAAAACCGTGAGCTAAAATCTAATATTTTTCCCGTGTATAATACACTATTTTTTTCTGTGACAGAAGGAAGGACGAATCAATATTGAGAAGATATTACATTATTTCGAAATCTGAAAATTATCGACGTGAAATTTCAAGTTTTTAACAGTAGGGACACCTGCGTTTTATAGACATCTTTATCATTATTTTGAAGTAATCAAATATCTGATGTCACTTCTGTCAGTTCAATTCTGTGATTTGATTCTGAAAAATTGCGAATTCAGTAGTTGTTTAGTAATATACGAAATCGCGAAGTCGAATGGAAGATAAAAGGACTTGCAGTTCTTTCTCGGAGACGGTATTATTGACGC